CGGGATGGGGCGGATGCGGGAGCGGGAGCGGAGCTGGCCCCGTTCCTTCCTCCGCGGAAGGTTGACGTGGTAACGGCGCTGCCGCAGCAGCACAAAGGCTCCATTCATCCCTCGGCTGTGCTGCAGCGCTGCAGCCCCCTCCTCTCCCATCCCCTCCCATCCCCTCCCCTCCCCTCCCACGGCCCCCTCCCCTCCCCCAGAGCCTCCTGCCTGTCTTCCCAAAAGCTTCGGGAAAGGTTTGGGAAGCTCCGGGAGCGGGACGTGCCCACCCTGTTGTGCCCGGGATGTGTTTTCCCTGCCTCGGAGGAGGAAATCCTCCCATCACGGGCAGCTTTTGGGGAGGGGGGGGGGGGATGTAACAAACCCCCTCCCCACCGTGGTGGGGCTCGGAAAGAAAAGAGGCTCCTTGTCCTTGGCGCTTCTTCCCGGTGCCGCCTCCGCCGTGGAAGGAATGCCGAGCTATTAAAGCTATTAATAACCCCCAAGTGCTCCCACCGCCTTGCCCAGGGGCTCTGCCAGCAGCGCCCGGACCCCTCGGCAGCTCCTGCCTCTTCCCTTTGGCCCCGGGCGAGTATTTATAGCCCGCGGCTCATCCCTTCCTGCTCCTCGGGGGCAGGGAGGGAGGGAGGATCCCGCACGTGTGTTTGTTTGGATCGGGAAGCGGCTGAAATGGCCCCTGGGAACAGCGGCCTCGCGCTTTTCCTGCCCTTTCGTCCGAGGGGAAAACCCCCTCCAGGAAAAGGTGTGTGCTGGACCACCCCCCATCCCAGGGGAGGAGAGTGTCCTGAGCCTGCCTGACCCTCGGGAGATTCGGCTGCTCATCCCTCCGTGCCCCTGGAGCAGCTCCCTCTCAGCTCCCTGCCCCCCTCAGAGCCAGGGATTATTATTTTTTCGTGGATCTCCCACCGCGGAGCCGAGGCCGAGGCGGTTGAGGGGGGTGTGTGTGAGTCGTGCAGGGCTTTTTTAGAGAAATCCAACCACACTGCAGCTCCTCCCCCGGAGCCGAGCTCCCCGAGAGCCGCAGCTCCGCGCAGCGGTGCTCCCGCATCCCTGGAGCCCCTGGGATGGGATGGGATGGGATGGGATGGGATGGGATGGGATGGGATGGGATGGGATGGGATGGGATGGGATGGGGCCAGAGCCCAGTCCTGACCCTCATTCATGGCTCTGTGTCCCTGGATCCCTCTGCGATGGGATGGGGGCATCCCCCAGCCCCAAATCCCCATCGTCCTGGCACACCCTGGAGTGGGACAGGATCAACCCCCAGCCCTCGTTCATGGCTCTGTGTCCCTGGATCCCCCTGGGATAGGATGGGGGCAGAGCCCAGCTCTGACCCTCATTCAAGGATTCTGCATCCCTGGATCCCTCTGGGATGGGATGGGGGCAGCCCCCAGCCCCAAATCCCCATCGTCCTGGCACACCCTGGAGTGGGACAGGACTGACCTCCAGCCCTCTGTGTCCCTGGATCCCTCTGGGATGGGATGGGACAGGATGGGATTGGGCCAGAGCCCAGTCCTGACCCCCATTCCTGGCTCCTGCATCCCTGGATCCTCTGGGATGGGATGGGACAGGATGGGATGGGGACAGAGCCCAGCTCTGACCCCCATTCCTGGCTCCTGCATCCCTGGATCCCCTGGCATGGGATGGGGGCAGCCCCCAGCCCCAAATCCCCATCACCCAGCACTGACCCCCAGCCCTCGTTGGTGGTTCTGTGTCCCTGCAAGCCTCTAGGCTGGGATGGGGACAGTCCATGTTTCCCTCTCCCTGGAGACTCCCGGGGGGGACAGGGACACCTCCCAGCTCCAAATCGTCCCTCGTGACCCCGTGTCCCCATCCTGTGTCCCCAGGGTCGCCTGCCCCGCTACCTGATCCACCAGAGCCTGGCTGCCACCATGTTCGAGTTCGCCTTCCACCTGCGCCAGCGCGTGGCCGAGCTCTGCTCCAGGCCCTGAGGACATTCCAGCGGCCTCTCCGCTCCGTGGGGACGGGGACAGGACCCCGCACCCCCCCAGCGAGGGGTCCCCCCTGCCAGCCGGGGGGGCTCAGCCCCTTGTCCCACCACGGTTGCCCCCCGAAGTTTGGGGCTCTGCACCCGACTGTTCCGTGCCAAATCCCTGCCCACCCCGGGGGGCTGGGGCTGCCCCCGCTGCCCACGAAGGGGTTGGGGGCTCAGCGGGCACCCCCAGATCGCTGCGGCTGCGCCCCAATTCCCTGAGGAAGAGGGCACAGAGGTGGTGGCCGTGACAGCGAGGACTCTGTGCCGGGCTCTGTGCCAGGCTCTGTGCCAGGCTCTGCCCCTCCACCAGCGGGTGGAGGCACAATCTGTGACCCCCCACCCCCACCGTGACCCCGGGGTGGGGGGCACAGCGCCGGGGACCCCCAAACCTCCCCCGGGCGCTGGCCCAGCCCCTTCCTCCCTTCCCAGACGTGCAGCTCCCGGTGGAGCCAGCGCGGGATTCGCCTTAAGCAGAGACTTGGATCCTTTTTTGGGGTGCTGGGGGGGGGTTGGGGGTGTGGGGGTGACTGCAGCCCCCCCCGGTCTCTCTGCACCCCCCGGGGGTCTGGGGGTCAGCCCCCCACCCCCAAAATCTGTGTGGGCTGAATTAAAGCCTTGCACCATTTGCAGCTCGGTGTCACCCACCTTTGTCACCCAGCGAATCGAGGGGGTGTGGGCGGATTTGGGGCTGGGGTCACCCCGAAATCCCCCCTCCGGCGCTAAAGGGTGGGGTCTCCGGGCTGCTTGGGCCGCTGGCCGCGGGTGGCACTGGCTGTGGGTGGCATTGTCACCCACCCTGTGGTGGCACCAGCAGCTCTGTCGTCCTGGAGCATTTCTGTCTGCGCCAGCTGTGCCCGGGGCCCCTCCACCCCTGGGGTCATCCGCTGGGGTGGGACCCCCACGCCTGGGGGCAGCTCTGGGGGTGTCACCAGCCACGTCCCCTGTGTCACCAGCCACGTCCCCTCTGTCACCAGCCACGTCCACACGAGCCCTGGATCACTGGCACCCCACTGCTGACCCTACAAACGCCCATTTGGGGGTCCCCACAGCCCCAAACCCCTGTCCTGTGCTGGGTGGGGACACTCTGGGAGGGGACCCCAGTGTCCAGCTGTGGGTGGCACTGGGGTGGCACCGAGGTGGCACACGACACCCCGGCGCTGTGGAGGGGACAGCAAAAGGCCAGCCGTGCCCTGGGCAGGTGCCAGGGCGGGTCCTGCCGCTGCCATCACGTTGCTGGCAGGGTTTGCCCCTCGTCCCCAAGGCGGGCAGAGGGGAGGGGACACACCCGTGGGTGCCACACACGTGTCCGAGGTGCCACCCCCCCTCCTTTGGCAGCGCTCGGTGCCAGCGGCGCGTCCCAAAATAGCCCTGGCGGGGCCATAAAAGCGGGGAGGGCACGGGGAGGGGGAGGACAGCGGCACCATGGTGGGCCCTGGCGCGGTGCTGGGGGGCTCCAGGGGGCTGCTCTCGGCCCGCCTGGGCTGCCGGCTCCGGGAGGAGGACGTGGGCAGGAGGGAAACCTTCAGCGCCGAGTGGCTGGACCTGGAGCTCAGCTCCCGGCCCGAGGACGGGTGAGGGGCACGGCCGGAGGGGTGCCAGGGGGGCACTGGGGGTGTTGGGTGCTGGAGGATTTGGGGGGGAAGGTTTTCTTGCCTTTTGTGGGGGGTTCTGGAATGCGGGGTTCCGTGGGGTTGTAGGAGGCTCCGAGCGTTTCAAGTTGTGGGGTCACCGTAGGGTTTTGAGGGGCTACGAGGGTCCTAAAATACGGGGTTTCCATGGGGTTGTGGGGTGGTTCCAAAATTAGGGGTTTCCGTGGGGGGTTGGGACTGTAGGAGACTCCCAAGAATGCTGATGGGGTTTTGGGAAGCCCAAAAGTCCCAAATTTGGGTGTTTCCGTGGGGTCTTCGGGCTCCAAGTGTCCCAGATTATGAGGTTTCCAGGGGTTTTGGGAAGCCCAAAGGTCCCAAATTTGGGTGTTTCCGTGGGGTGTTTGGGCTCCAAGTATCCCAGATTATGAGGTTTCCAGGGGTTTTGGGAAGCCCAAAGGTCCCAAATTTGGGTGTTTCCGTGGGGTCTTTGGGCTCCAAGTATCCCAGATTATGAGGTTTCCAGGGGTTTTGGGAAGCCCAAAGGTCCCAAATTTGGGTGTTTCCGTGGGGTCTTTGGGCTCCAAGTGTCCCAACTTATGAGGTTTCCGGAGGGTCCTGGGGCTTTGGGCGTTTCCGAGGGTCCCTGTGGGATCAGGGAAGTTCTGGGGGGTATCCAAGAGGGACTGGGAAGATCTCGGGGGTTCCTGTGAGGAAATGGGGGTCTCTATGGGGCTGGGGGAGGCCGAGATCCCACAAGGAGCCCGGAGAACTCGGGGGTCTCCACGGGGCTGAGCAGATCCATGGGACAAGGGGGGGGAGTATCCCACGGGGTGGGACGGGACGTGGTGGTCTCCAGGAGTCCTGGGGGGGGTGTGGGGTGACCCCAAAGGCTCAGAGCAGGAGGTGAGGGTCTGGCTCGGTCCCCCCACGAGTGTCCCCGTGCCCAGGTGGTGCCGGCGGGAGGCGGCCACGCAGCGCCGGGAGACGCTGGAGCAGCGCGGGGCCGTGCGGCTGCTGGAGCAGCGCTCGCCCTGGGGGCTGCTGCGGGTGGGGGTCCTGGGCCAACCCCCCACCCAGCACCTCCTGCCCTACGCCCGCACCCTCCCCGTGCCCCTCTTCGCCCCCTCGGACCTCCGCGGTGCCAAGGGGGGCGTTCCCCGCACCCTCTCCCGCTCCCTCTCCCACGAAGCCCAGCGGGGCTGAGCGCGGCAGAGGGGCCGGGGGAGGTCGGGGCTGGGGGGTCGGGGGGTGATGTTGGGGGGCTGGGGGGGACCCACACGCCTGGGTCTGCTCAGCCCGCCCCGAAGAGAGGCAGCGCAGGAAGGCGGGGGCAGGTGGGGGTGGGCTCCCACTCGCGTGGGACCCCACCCCGCTGTGGGCGTCGTGGAGGCCGGTGGGGATGAGGACCCCGCGGGTCGGGGGGGCTCCCGCCCTTCGGGGGGCTCCCGGCAGCTCCGGCGTGACTCAGTTTCCCTGGCGAAAAGATGGGAATGCGAGGATGAGGAGCGCTGAAACCCGCCCGGGGTTGGAGGGCGCCCTGGGTGGGGTGGTGGGGGGGATGAGGGGATGGGGGGGCTGCGGTACCAACCGCGGTCTTTGCACGGCAATAAAACGCCTGCCTTGGCACCTCGGCGTCTTTTTGGGGGGGTACCAGGGTGGGGGGCAAGATTTAGGGGGAGAGGGATTGTGTATGGTGGCACAGGGGAAACTGAGGCACGGCAGCTGGAGGGACCCGGTGTCTTATGGGACCGGGGGGGTCTGGGTGAGGGGGGGCTGTGCTTATGTAACCCCCCCCGCATCGCCCACCCGGTGCCAGGTCCTGCGGTGCCCAGATTAGCTGTTCCCGCTCGGCATCCCGCTGTCCCTGGGCCCTCGCCAGGCTCTGTGCCCTCCCCGGGCCCGGCCCCGTCCCGGCCTTCCTCCCTCCTGTCCCTCATCTTCATCCCCCCCTCAACAGCCCCGGCACAGGCGGGATTTGGGGTCCTACAACACCCCCAGCCCCATCAGTGGGAACCACCCTGCTCCTTGTCCCGGAGCACTGGGAGCACTGGGAGCACTGGGAGCACTGGGAACACTGGGGGCACTGGGAGAACTGGGGGCACTGGGAGCACTGGGAGCACTGGGAGCACTGGGAACACTGGGAGAACTGGGGGCACTGGGAACACTGGGGGTACTGGGAACACTGGGAGCACTGGGGGCACTGGGGGCACTGGGAACACTGGGAACACTGGGAGCACTGGGGGCACTGGGAGCACTGGGAAACCCTCCATATTCCCATCCCATTCCAACCAAATCTGTCCAAATTCCCATCCCCATCCCGCCCAAATCCCTCCAAATTTCCATCCCCATCCCAGTCCCATCCCAAATCCCTCCAAATTTCCATCCCCATCCCAAATCCCTCCAAATTTCCATCCCCATCCCA